ATTTTCTCCGGTGCCTGTTGCTGGAAGTTTCTTTTGCCCTAACCGCCCTCATTTACATCATCTGATTCTATCCCTGCTCGCCCTATTAGAAGTTTCCAGATGCACCGGCTAAAACACATGCCTGCCTCAATGGTACCAGCCTCTGGGTATCACTCCACTCTCTTGTTTTTCAGTTTTGTCCTACTCTGGTTCTCAAAAGTGGCAACATTTGCTCATTATATGATCAAAATATAATATCCTTTTTTGTCAAGGAAGATACCTATTTAATTTCATTTTTGTTTGTTTTCCTCCCAAAAGGCTTCTAATGTATCCCTAGACCTTCCCTTTCTAAAAAAGCACAGCAGATAGAAATGGGGGTAATAATGACTAAGATCAATAATTTGGAATTACACCTAGCTTTGCTTTTCTCCCAACCACCATATTATGCTCATTGTTCTGTATGATTTCTAACTTTTCTCTCTTAATTTTAATTTATTCTTTCCGAGTTTCAAGCGTTTCATCATAGTGGCTTGGATTTTTTCCAATCCCATGATTATCTCTCTATTAAAGCTTTAATACAAAAAGAAATAAAAAAAACCCAGACTGCTCATTACTTTGATTTGTAGCAAGGAGAGAATGGAACATTACCGCTAGAGTGTTTCAAGAAACCATATTTACATTTGCATCAGCTCAATTTAGGTGCCTGATTAGCTTGCGTGGTATGATGAAGATGCACTTACCAGTCAGAGGGAAGTGGCATGGTCTAGAGTAATGAGGAGACTCGAAGTCAGGAGCCCTGAGTGCTATTTCTGGCTGTGAGTGGCTAACTCTCTGACCTTGAACAAGTCCGTCTCACTGTCTTGGGCCCTGATAGCCCCCATCTGCTTCCCAGTGCTGCTGGGAGAGGTTGAGCACTTAAGTGTTTGTCCTAGTGGGGGCTATGGAGTCAAGCAAAGGAGGGAGCATTGAGGTCACAAATGGAATTGGAGACAAAAGATCTTCCCTTAAAGCTCTTACGATGGTGAAGAGACAGGGTCTGAGAAGTGGGCTGATTTCCCCAATCTTGGTCTAACAGGACTTGAGGACATGGTGAGAGGTTGGCAAATGGAATTTAAAAGCTTGCCCAAAGCTGGGCGTGATAGCCAAGCCCATCCTGTTATTTAGAAAGGCTTAACTAGAGTGCATATTGTCTTTCTTCTCGTAATAGTGCCATCCTGAGATGGTCTGTTTTATCCCCCAGGAAAGGGAGCTGGCTGGGACTGGCATCTGGAGGATGTCCTAAGGAAGGCCTGCTCTGTTAGCAATCCCTGACTTTAGAAGAAAGATTTTTACCCGTGGTGACCAGTGTATGCCCCACAGAGGATCCCTTCATCCTTTGGTTTCCTCTTCCAAAGAGAACTCGATTGAGGGGTAAAGATTAATATACTTTGAAAAGGAAAGCAAGAGAATGATTTTCTTCTCCTTGTTGGTGTGACGCCCTCAGCAGACATTATCACAAAGATAGCACCCATGGTTCTCATCTCAATACCATTCTTTTGATGGTTAATATTTGTTGAGGACGATCCAATAATAGATAATATCTATTAAACATTGTTCTAGGTGCTTAACATCAATTAACTAATTTCATTGTCACATCACCCCAATAGGTAGGCAACTATTATTTTCCCGATTTTATAAGTAAGGACATTGGGGAACAAAGCAAAAATTGCCCAACAATATGTAGCTAGTAAGCTGCAGCTCCAGGATTTGAACCCAGGCCATCTGGCTTCAGAACCTTCACTCTGAAGCACCTGAGCCTTCAGGAATATAAACTTGAAATGGACAGAGCAACAATCTCCCAGAGCCCAGAGTTAGAGGCCAAAGTTTCTCTAGAATAACCAGTTCTCTTTCCAAAGTTAAGAGCACACTCTGATATCCAAGTAAGAACGGGTGGGATTCTGAGCTGTTGAGCAGAACCTTGTTAAGTACAACCTTGCCATTTGCTAGTTATGATCTATTCACACCCAAGAAGAGGAGAGACTCTCTCCTGCTGTGGGAGAGAGCTCATGTGCTTCTGCCCCACGGGAAAGTCCTTATTCTTCCCCCACTACAGTTTATCTCCTTTCTTCTATGGAAGGTGTAGGTGGACACCATCTGAATTGTATATACAGAAAGCTTTCTTAAAGGAATGAATGAAAGGGACACCTGAGTGGCTCAGTTGGTTAAGCGGCTGCCTTCAGCTTAAATCATGATCCCAGCATCCTGGGATCGAGTCCCACACTGGGCTCCTTTCTCAGCAGGGAGCCTGATTCTCCCTCTGCCTCTGCCTGCCATTCTGTCTGCCTGTGCTCACTCTCTCTTGAGCTCTGACAAATAAATAAATAAAATCTTAAAAAAAAAAAAAAGAATGAAAGACTGATTGCTCAAAACCCAGGGCTGTTTTCTGTATGCTTTTCCTCCTTGTGCCCTTCTAGACAAAATGTCCTTCTGGTCATTGGGGATGACCCTCAATGTATATTTTGCCCGTTTTCCGTGACCACTTTCGTCAGAGTCAGCAAGGTCTTGAATTTGCCAAAGAGAACTGCTACTAGAGTCAAAAGCGGAAGGAATAAAAATGAATTCCCGCAGGGATAACATAGAACCCTACAACGGTAGCCATGGATCCACCATTTTGCTTAACAACTCAAGGCGAAACTCCCAGAATGCTTCTGGAGCAGCAGTGTGTGACCACTCTCTCTTCGCCCCACCAAAGGGTCACATATCAGAAGGTTGCATTCCTGTCAGAATGACTGGTTACTGTTTCCCCAAGTGCAGGTTCAATGCAATAACTGACCTCAGAGAAAGAGAACAGCACAGTGTAAGCGCTTGTCACCGTAAATGATCAGGAAGCCATTACCAATGGATAGAACGGCTGATGGTACAGAAGTGATTACAGAAACTCCGCATGGGCCAACTCTGCCGCCCAGGCATTCAGGGGCTGCCGGGTTGGGGCTGGGACACCACGAGAAGAAAAATCTACTGAGGGAGAGGAGATGTGATGGTTTATTCCCTCTGGTTCCTATAGCCCTTCAAAGTGGATGGTGGTGTTGGGATCCCCGATCTGACATTTCAGTCCCAATATACTTAAAATAGATACATATATATTTGGTGATAACAGTGCTTCTAAAAATTGGGATGAACTGAAAAGTCGAAGGTAAATTAAATCTTGTTTTCCTGGACTAGAGGGATTTGCTGCTTAAATATATTCTAGGGTAGATTTTCTCTCTTAAAGAAGAGACGTTCTTTAAAAAAGGGAAGCATCATTCTGAATGACCTGGATGTCCAGTTTCTTATGCATTTACTGAAAGTCGAGTCAACCTCTTTTGCTCCTTCAGCTTCCCTGGAGCAGGTGTTAGCTCGGCCTCCCCCAGCCTGAGCTGGAGGCATCCTGCCTCAGGGGCTCTAGCGAATTTCTTCTGTAGTCTTTGGAGGATGGCAAGAACCAGAAGAACAAGAAGCAGAGTGTGCATGGCAAGCTCTTCCAAGACCAAACTAGATCCAAGCATGGTGGAAGAGAAATGGTCTGAAAGGAGAGCTGGGTGGGTTGCTCCTGAGAGCAGGACTTTACCGGCCCCACAGGCATCTGACCTTGTCCCTCTGTCTGCTCCCGTGTGTGTGGAAATCAGGTACCAGGAGAACTGCCTCTGTAAATGGCTGCTCCTACCACTGGGGGGTCTTCCAGTGATGAAAAGCCTAAAACCTTATTTCTAAGACACTACACTACCCTAAACAGACTGCACGGTTATTGCAGAAGTTTTAAAAAACTCTCAGAAACAACAAAAACATTGTCTCTAAATATATTTTAAGAACCCAGACTCTGGAGTCTGATGACTTGGAAGCTAATCCTGGCTCCACTCTTCGCAAGCCATGTGCCCTTCTGCAAGTTCCTTAACTTCTCTGGACCTCATTGAGCTCATGTGTGGAAAGCGGGTAATAATTGTTCTTCCAGCATAGGGCTGTTGTAAGGATTAAAGGAGCTGGTGTACATAGGCACGTAAAACAAGAGGGCCCCAAACTTCAATATGTTCAGTATGTCCATCGTTCATCCTTTGGCAACTTCAGGCTGCTATTGTTAACCTTTTGGCACAGTGATTTTTCTGGTTTTATTTCTTCTCTGTGCTTTTTGTGTGTGTGTTTTCTCTCTTTTTGTGGCGTTAGAAACTCATTTGTAATTGGAAAATAAATGCCTTTGATAAAAGGAACAATTTCAGCCATGCTCCTAGGGTTGTCTGACGACCACGGGCAAGGTGAAGAGGACAAGAGAGCCATGACAAGAGGACAAGTAGGCAGAGGGATGAAAGGGAAAGTTTTCTGCAGAGACGCACACCTGGGAGCCCTGAGGTTCTCGGGGTCACACAGGTGAGGATTTCTAGAAACCTCCTTTTGAAGTGCTGGTCCCGAAGCCAGGAATATGTGCCTGGTTTTCGCCCTCATCACATGGACCTGGCCCATCTCATGTCTTTCAGCCCTGATGCTCCCAAGGATAGGTCTAAAGGGCCAAGAAGAGCCAGCCCTCTTCCACCAGCAAGGCCAGCTGAGGCTGTGGTGGGGCCGAGGGTCAAGGCAGGCTTGCCCCGGGAACCTGCAGGTCTCCCCAGACCTCCCAGGCAGGAGCTGGAGCTGCCCTTCCTTCATTTGCATGTCTAGGTAATTACAACTCATAAAAGTATCTAACCCATTAGTTAAAACCCGGCCCCAGCATTTGACTCTGACCTCCTGCGGCAGCACGGGCCCCACGCTGACTCCATGCCGCCTGATTTGTCCTCAATTTATAAGCAGCACAACCTATAAATAGAAACCCTTTTGCTATGTTCCCCAGGAGGCATCAGCAGGTTTTCCAGCTTGTGTGTGTTTTCTTCTTTCTTTTTTTAAAAACCAACATGGGAGGCTGGTTCTCCCCCGCCCGCTCTCCTAGTTCAGTCTGGGGGCGCAGGAGTGGGCTCAGCCCGCGAGCCCCGCGCCGGTTGCAAGCGGCCCCCCCCCCGCCCGCCGGCCGCACTCACCTGTAGATCCTGTACCTGGTGGTGAAGCCCTGCCGGAAGCGCTCCACGAAGTCTGCGTACTCCTGCGCGCGGTGGAACGGGCCGCGGTCGCTGAGGAGCCAGTCCAGGGGCGGCTGGCCGGCGGGGGAGGCATGCTGCTCGGGGAGCGCCGCGGCGGCCGTGGCCGAGACCGCCAGCACCCAGCCCGGGAGGCCCAGCGCCAGCAGGGTTGCCCATGGGGCCGCCGCCGGCCCGAGCCCTCTAAACCGAGTGCCGCACTGCCACCTCATGCTTCTCCCGGCCGGTTGGCTTCTTCATTCTCTCGCCACGCTCTCCCGCTCGGTGCCGCTCCTCCAGGGCTCCTGGAACTGGAAAAGGCCAACACCGAGACGTCAGGGGAGCACCCTGGCCTTCCTGAGCCCCGCGGCCCCCGCGCGTCGGACGGCACGGGGCAGGGCCCCTTCTAGAAAGCCCGGGCGCCACCACCACCTCTGCGTTCTGGGCCCTGGGCCTGATGCAGATTTTCTTGCGTTCGGAAAACGATCCTCGAGGACAGGCCACGGTCACCGTTTTGCAGATGGGAAGGTGGGGTTGAGGGGAGAGGAGGAAGGTGGCCGAAGTTCAGGCGGCTTTTAAGGGAGGAAACCAGAATTTGGAACTGTGGTCATCTGACCAACCTTTACAGCACATGGCTTCTGTGTTTCCCATGTTGACTTAACACCATCTGCCGCTTCCGTCTTCCTCTCTCACAATGTGCACTATGTGTCAGTAATAGCCCCGCAGAGTGCGAGCGGCCTCTAGAAGCTGGAGGGAAGGTGAACAGTGACCCCACTTTTCAGATTGTGGGGCAGAGAAATAGTGGGGTCCCATCACGGGTATGAAGCTGTGTAAACTGGAGCTAATCCCCTCCCTTCTCTGGGTTCACTTTTCTCTGATAAAGAACAAAGAGGCTTGACTACGTAATATCCAAGACTCCTTCCAGTTTCCAAGAGCGGATCCCTTCTTTAACAGAAGGCCACGGAGGAATGGAGTTAGACCGGGAAGCCAGATGGCCCAGCAGCAGCAGCGGAGAGCAGATCTGTGGATACACGACACCTGTCGCTCCATCTCTCCGCGAGACATGAGCGCTCCCTGAAGGCAGGGCTGGGTCTCCTTCTAGCCTAGTTCCCGACAGCACACAGCAGGCCTTTAGAGACCCTTTTGAAGGAGTGAGTGAGTATATGCCCCGTCTTCTCTGAGTAGAAGGGAAGGTGCCAAGAAAGCAGATTCTGGCCTTCAAAACTCTTAGCTGCCTTGTGACTCCTCATAGGGCTTTGTTTTCCAGTGCGTGCCCTTTGCCTAAGAATAACGAGTCATCTTATAAAACTCTGGACAGGCGCAGGGGACTGACTCAGACTGTGGGGGTCCTTACGTTGCATCCATTCCTTTGACCTTTAACAGCACATGCTGTCAGAGTCTCGCCTAGCTCTCCTCCCCGACACCACTTCAGTGCTAGAATGTGCTAGAATGACTTCCAGCCCCAGGGCCTGCAATTTGTGGCTTTGAGGACTTTCTCTGGCCACCAAAACCAAAGATAGGCTCTCTGGGGATGAAGCAAGGGGTGTTAATTCTCTGGCACTTTCCAGGGTCCCATAAGGGCAGGCCAAGTGGGCTTCAGTATTTGAATCACACCCCCTCCCAGTGCCCCCAGTGTACTCTTTAATGGCTCCTGTTCAACAAAATTCCCTTGGGCCAGTGTGAGTCCTGAAGAAGCTGCTCAGAGGAGGGTCCACATTAATGCTGGATACTCTTAGCTAGAGGCTGGCCAGAGGCGAGACACCCGAGCCTCAGTATTTGTGCTTTCAAAAGAGTTGTGGTCCCTGCTCATAAAGATGAAGGGACACAAGCATGAGCATCTACACCTTCAGAGTCACTCCAGCTAGGAGTGGCAGGACCACTCCAGCTAGGAGGGACTGACCACCTACCATGTGCTGGGTGATTCTTAGACACTGCCCCAGTTAATTCTCACAGTCAATTTGTGAGAGAGCAGGATTGTTATCAGTTTCCTTCTCACTGGGATTCAGTGGAGCTGAGCTCGGAAGACGCAGGAGTGCAGTACGAACCTAGATGTGCCTCCATAACCAGGTCTTGGCCAAAGAAGGCTGAGCTCCCTAAGGATCTGGGGCAGCAGCAAGACAGACCCTTGTTTTGTGAGCTGGTCAAGAGAGATGCCTAGAAGAAGAATAATCAGGTCACACCTGCCCTACTGCGTCCGAGAACGTATTATAAAATTCTGATCATTAAAACAGGTGCTGCTGGCACACAAATTGGACAGACAGATCAATGGTGTAGAACAGATAGCTCAAAATAGAGCTTATTATAAACAAGAACTTAGAATATACACAGATATATAAAAACATTTCAGACTAATTGGGTAGGGGATGGAATATTTTAAACATCATATTGGGAAATTAGTTCCAGATGGATTAAAAAGTTAAATATAAAAAACAAAATCAGAGAAGGAAGAAAAATCCCCAAGTGTTTTATAACAAGCAATGTATTACTTTTAAATCAGGGGGAACGTGATATAAACTAAAAGGAGTCAGTCTTGCACAGGGTGGGTAGGAATTTCTTTTATAGGCTGTAATCTGATGAGGATGCCCAAAATATTTCTCATTTAATCATTCACACATTCATTTCTTGAGAAACATAAATTGGAAACTCCTAAGAACCAGACACTACTATGCTAAGCCTTGATAATATAAAAGCGAGGGCTCATTGCATTATCTGAAACTCTGTTGGTGATTCATTTCTCTTATAGAATGTTGTTCTGTTTTTAAAAGCATATTGATGGAGGGAAAGGAAGAAAGTTCATGTTGAAGACTGGGGCTACGTGACACTGCAGGCCAAGGCAGCAAACACAGCAAAGTGGAAATGCACTGATGGGGGAAAAACACTATGGAAGGTAGGATTTAAAAACAGCCCCAAGTTTCCCATATCCTTCTGTGCACACCCTGCATAATCACCTCCCTTTGAGTGTGGGCAGGACCTATGAATATGGTGAGAAACTACTCCCATGATCAGATTACTAATCAGTTAACTTTGAGTCATTTAAAAGGGAAAGTATCTTTGGTGGGCCTGACCTAATCAGGAGAATGAGACCCTTTAAAAGAAAGGGAGGTGTCAGAGAGACGAGCTCCCGCTGACCTGGAAGAAGGCAAACAGTCACGCTGTGAACAGCCTTCTGGGGTCATGAAGCCAAGGACTGCACAGGTAGCCTGTAGGAACTGAGAACAATTCTCTGTCAACAGCTAGTAAGAAAATGGAAAGTACTCATACTAGGACAAGAAAACAAATTCTGCCAACAGCCACATGAGCCTGGAAGAGAACCTTGAGCCCCAGGTAAAAACCACCTCCTTGGCTGGCACCTGGATTTCAGTCTGGTGAGACATTAAACCAGTTTAAAACTTCTCTTTCTTAAAGACAGATTTTTTAGTCAAAACATTAGAGGACCCAACTAATCCCTTTCCAGTACCACGAGACCATAAATTTGTATTGTTTGATCCCACAAACTTTGGGGTAATTCATTCCACAGCAATAGGAAAATGATACAGACAACATAAAAGATGGCGGTACTCCTGTCCCATTCTTCGCATGGCCTGATCTGGTGAGGGGTTTCTGCGCTCCCTGAGGAACACCAGCTGTTGTTCCCCACGTGTGAAAAAGCTAGCATGGCCATTCCCGAGCACAGTGAGGCTGCTCACCTCCCCCTCCCACCTCCCACCCCGTCGGGATGACCGACCCCGCAAGGTCAGAGGTGAGAGATTTGTTTTTATAACTCGGGCCTCACACACAGTCATTCCTCCAAGGTATGTGATGAACCAACCCCGTGCATTTTATAGAAGGATCACGGTGAGCGAGTGACAGCACATGGCCTTGGCCCAGTCCCAGAACCTCTTGTGCCCTGTGCTATCACTCAGGGGGGTTGAAGGGGGGCTGTCACCTCCCCTACCGATCAAGAGTTTTCCAAGGACAGGTGTGAAAAGCTGTGTGCTCTTGGAAAGAAATGAGATCTGTTAAGTCAATGCGTGCTTCTTGTCATTCTGTGTTTGTAATTATGCTTTTTCAGAGCTCACAATGTGCTGGAACCTGCCTGCTTATAGGAGTATCAGCTTGACAATCCAATGGTTTTGATTGCCGGGCCAAGTCTGCTGAGTGCAGCAAGAATGCCTGAATTCCGTGCCGACTGCGCCTCTGATACACTTGGCCTTGGAATCATATGGTTTCTGCTTCATTGCTTTTCCGCAGGATCTGAAGACATTTTGACTAAAAAATCTCTCTTTAAGAAAGAGAAGTTTTAAACTGGTTTCAAAACTTAAAAAAAAATCTCTAGAAGGTATTCCTTTACCTTAAAAAAAAAAAAAAAAAAAAAGAAAGACACCATAATTGCTGCATTGACAGTTGTGTGAAAATTAGGCTCTTTGAGGGGAACAGCTTTGGGCCATTTCCTGTTTATGTTCCACGAATAATATCACTAGGAATTTGATAACAACAAATGTCCAGCAAATTTTAACTATCGAAATTCTCATGGCTTCTGGTGGTGTGGCTAATACTCAGTGGGTTAAAACAATTAACAGTTTCCCCATGATGCTTGCAAGGACCGGTTTACCCTAAAGCCGGCTATGTGAGTAAACCTTCATTTACATGTGAGGGTCTTTTTTTTTTTTTTTAAAGATTTTTTTTAATTTATTTATTTGACGGACAGAGATCATCAGTAGGCAGAGAGGCAGGCAGAGAGAGAGGGAGAAGCAGGCTCCCTGCTGAGCAGAGAGCCCAATGCGGGGCTCCATCCCAGGACCCTGGGATCATGACGTGAGCCGAAGGCAGAGGCTTTAACCCACTGAGCCACCCAGGCACCCCTACATGTGAGGGTCTTAATGTCAGGGCTGAGCTAGCTCCTTGAGGAAAAAAAATGATAAATTTACTTGTGAAAGCCAAACACTTCCATTTCACTTACACTATACTTAAGACAGAGTTTTACACCTACACCAATAATAAATTAGCTCTGGACCAAAGGCACAAGTAAAATAAACTCGTTGAGCCATGAATGAAATGGATTACGGTTTTGCCAATAGAGAAAATGAAGTACAGACAAAGTCACAGGAGAAGTAGGCAGGGCAGCCTTCAAAATGGGAGAGGTTATGAGCCCCAGAGCTCCACCAGTCTGACACTGTCACCTAGCTGAGGACCCGTTGGGACTGTGCTGCATCCTCCCGGTGGTCTCCATCTCCATTTACGCTGGGTGTGTCAATACGCAGAGCAGTTATGATTTGGGACATCTGCTGCTCATGCACTAAATTTTGGTGAGTGAGACAGAGAGTCTCCTCTT